GAAACGTAATTGTATACCTAACCCTTAACTGTACCTCACAAAACCATAATAAAAAATATTATAATAAAATAAAAAAATAAAATAAAATAAAATAAAAATAAAAGATTGGAGTTCAACTGCTACCTGAGTTTCCAGCCTGCCCTATACAGATTTTGGACTTGCCAGCTTCATGACCGTGTAAGCTAATTCTTTGAAATGCATCTATTCTCTTATGTATGTATGTAGGTCTCCATCCGTCAATTAATCTTCCATCCATTCATTCATCCATCCATCTATCCTGAAGGTTCTGTTTCTCTGGAAAACCCTGACACCGCATCTAAAAGAATAAAGTCCCTAAGAATAAATTTTGTGAGCAAAGTAAAGGAATTGCATTGAAAATTATAAAACATTGCTGAAAGAAATTAAAGGAGACATAAAATGGAAAGATTCCATGTTCATGCATTGCAAGAATTAATATTTTTAAGATGGTTATGCTTCCCAAAGCAATTTACAGATTCAATACAATTCCTATCAAAATATCAATCATTAATTTTGCAGAAATGGAAAAGCCTATCCTAAATGCACATGTAGGTTATGCATGACCTCAGCATCATAGACTCCCGCTCACCAGGGCTAACCTGGCTACAGGCACTGCCAAGTACCCAATCCGCCAGCAGCAGAGACCACTCTGAGTCCCTTTTATTCCACCATCGTCCAGAGTGGTCAGCCAGCTACCTGGTGGCAGGTTGATTTCACTGGACTGTTTGCATTATGGAAGGGACAGCACTTTGTTCTTACCAGATTAAATGCTTAGTCTGGATATGGATTTCACATTTTTGCTTGTAATTCTTCTACCAAAACCATTATCTGTGGACTTATAGAATACCTTACATGTATACACCATCCTGCCATTCCACATAGTGTTGTTTCTGATCAAGGGACTCACTTCTCTGCATACAAAGTACAACAATAGGCCCATGCTCATGGGATTCACTAGCTTTTCCATGTTTCTTGTATTTCTCTCTTGTGTCTCATCTCTGCCCTCGGCTGGTTCAGGGCCTCAAGTCCAAGACCTCTCCTAAGTGTTGTAGGAAGAGTGTATTTTAGATAGGGACCCAGAACACCCTTTATAATATTTTAAAACTGGGTTAACAGGAGCTTCATCCAATTTCAGGGGTTTCTAATTATCCTAAATAAGGCAATTTCCATGTCTCTTCACAAGAACCAACTTTTAATAATCTATGTTATAAAAGCATGGGAAATCAGTAATGTATCAGCATTCGTTTAGATCCTCTCATCTCTTCACAGGATGGCACTGAAGTTACGGACTTACATTCTCCCTCACTGAGAGTAGCTGGTCAAGCCATCTCTCAACAGACAGACAGAGAGGCACAGGCACAGGGCTGCATGGGTGTGCACTTGCTTATCTCCTTGCCATGAATCTATGCTTTCTTAATTAGGATTGGTGGAAAGATGCTAGGATCTCAATCATGCATAGAAGGAAAAATAAGCAACCTGGGGCTGAGTACAGTGCAGGAAGATTAATACATCAATAAGGAGGCTCCTAAGAATACTCCAAAGAATATTAGTAGATCAGCACATGATGTACTTGCATTAGTTGATAGGCCAACTGTAGTAATCAAAATCCCTCAAATACGAGGGGGTAACCCCTCCAAAATGGAATTACTTTGGAGGGTGGGTCCCTTATAGTACAGGTTTCCCCCACTAGGTAAGTGTTCTGGGAACCCATTGTCATCAGTGTACCATCTAGTATTGTGGGAGGCTGTGTTGAGCTTCAGTTAATTTTTTTTCAATTCGTTCAGCGTGTTTGCCCAGTTCATGATGGGTAATTTATGGGTGCACCCGCCCACGCCTCCCTGAGTGTTTAGTAGTTTTTAACTAAAAACGGCGTGACTCCCATGTCCCACCCTCCCTAATCACCCATACTTACCCCAAGGGATTTTTTTGTTTCCCTGGATTAAAAAGGTCCTCAAAGGGAAATGTTTTGCTGATGTGGAAGAAGTGAAACAAAAAACAGCACAAGCACTGAAAGGCATTAAAGTTGACGATTTCAAATACTATTTTGAGCAACGTAAAAAGTGTCTTGATAGGTATATTGCATCAAACAGAGGGTACTTGAAGGTATCTGAAGTTTAAACATGTAAGAATAAATACACATTTTTTTTTCAGGCACTTTTAGTTTTACGGTCATGACATTTGGATTCCATAGATGCATATAGAGGAGACTTTTTTTTTTTTTAAGTCGGAATCTCACTCTGTCACCCACACTGGAGTGCAGTGGCCGCTCCCGCCACCGCAGCCTCAACCTGCTAGGCTCCGGCGATCCTTCTACCTCAGCCTTCCAAATAGCTGGAACGACAGGCATGTGCTACCAGAGACATTTTTTTACAGAGCAGGTGTGGAGAGTACATTTGACACCCCAGGATGCTTTCAGACAGTCCTCAGTGGCCATGGACCTGCAGCCGAAGGCTCCATGCTGGGGCTGCTTTGTGGGGAGACCCCCAGCTGGACTCCTCTATCTGACTGCACAGAGACAGCCAATACTTGATCATCCGCAAGAGAGAAATGAATAAAGAAACAGCACTGATAACACACAGGCTGATACACACCAGGCCTGGCAATGACTCTGTGGCAGGTACTACTGTGGGTGGCGCTTTGCTTGGGCTGGGATTATTGATAAGTTATGGTTCTTGATGAGCACGTTGTTTGTAAAGAAGTCTTACTGAAAATCGAAGATTAGCTTCCAGGGCCTCATGAATTCCTTCACGACCTCGTCCGTGACCTCTTTGCGCCCGGCCTGGTGCTCAGCGACCAGGGGCTGCAGGACGTCAATGAGCGCCTTCTTGAGTTCCCCTGTGAGCATGGCGCAGCTGCTGTAGTCCTTCCTGATCTGCTCGAGCTTGTCGTCGTCCTGGAGGAAGAAGGTCAGGTACGTGAAAGGTACGTCCACGTCACAGTCGCCCCCCGGCTCCCGGTGCTCCTCGACAGTGGCTCTCCCTCCAGAAAACACGTGCTTGTTGACCATGGTCTTGATCTGCTTGGCAGTGTTGGTGAGGAAAATGAAGGAGTTGGGGTCACTGGTGCCCATCTTGGTCTGGGTACCCTGCAGGGCAGGGAAGAAGGTGGAGTGCAGCAGGAATGGCTTTGGATAACCAGTCCTGGGGGCGACGTCCCTCGTCATTCTGAAGTAGGGATCCTGGTCGATGGCACACGGAATCAGGCACTGGACATGTCCTGTCCTGGAAGATCTGTGGGAAGGAGTTGCTGAAGGTGGGAGCAGCTTGGATGGCAGGAAAACTGATCTTCCCAATGCTGTCGCTGTCAGTGAAGCCAAAAATACCCTTCACTTGGTTGAAGGTCACATGCTTCTGAATCTTCACCACATTCTTGTAGAAGCCTGGGCTCATCCCCGTGTAGTCAAGGTCAGAGAATATGAAAGTCTTGTTGATGTCAAAGCCACAGGCGATGATGTCCTTGGCCTGGTCCAGGGTCAGATCCTTCCACAGGTACTTCTTGTCATCCGTCATCTGGATGACCAAGGGCACGTTGAACACAGCCTGCAGCCACTTGGTGAAAATAAACGGGATGAGGTGGCCCAAGTGCATGGCTTCAGAAGAGGGGCCCCTGCCCATGAACAGGTAAAATGGTTTCTTGTTTTCATAGGCATCGAGAACTTGAGTCATGTCTCTGTGAGAGAAGAAGATGCCTCTGTGCAGGAAGTGGTGTGGTTTCTGGCCGATGGCTCTTTCTATGCGACTGATCAGCTCTTTATCAATTTTACTGCTTCTGAATCGAACAATGAGCTTGTCATAGTCGATGCCCTTCGCATTGCTTGTCTGTACTGACCATGGGTCCACAAAATCCTCTTCAGCTTCTGTGGCTTCTGGGCCATGATTGCTCCCAGGTGCTGGGTTCCCTGGAGGGCAGTCAGCCTTGCAGTTCTCCCCCACAGCAGCTCTGCAGCTCATTTTTACTGCAGGATCAATTCCATCCGGGCCGGCCCGGCCCGTCTGCGATGCCGGGCGAGACACCTACACATTTTTTAATCAATAAATTCCAGGGTTTTTTTTGGTGGGTCCCCCTTCATATATTCACGTTTATTTTCATATGAACAGTTCAAGACAGTTAGTGGCTAATTATGCTCCACCCAGAAATCCTGGGATCCAGGCTGACAGGCTCTGCCAATTTTAATACATGGCATTCAAGATTATCCTGGATATTAGCACCCAGTCACTGGAAGGGGAAAGAAGTCACATTGGAGGGATTTTATTATGAGCCAGACCCGGAACACCACTTCTCACTTTCTTTTGGTAAAACCGAATTATATAGCCACATCTAAGTGCAAGGGCGACTGAGTTATGTGCCCAGGAAGAAAAGGAAATAAATTTGGCGAAGACTAGCCATCTCTGACGTAGCAGTGTTTCTAAGGCACAGTAATGTGGTGTCTGGATTAGGGAAGCAGGAGCCAAAACCAATAATTTTCTTGAATTCAAACAGGAGACATCATTCTGTTTTGAACGGTTTTGCCCAGTTAGAGTAAGACCTAACCAGCTGCAGGGGTGGGAGATGATTTTGGTGATGGGAGTGTTATGGATGCTAGTGTCTAGGCCCTGAGGAAAAGGGGGTCTAAGAATGAAGTAGGGTGGGGTTCCTAGAGTCCAGGCTCTAATGGTGATATTGAAGGCCAGTAATGTGGTTAGAAATTTGGAAGAAGGCTTACATGTGCGGGCTTGCCTCAACATCCAGACTTGCTTCCAAAACCCCCTGCTGGTGGGTCTGGGACTGTTTGGGTCAGACTTAGCTCTAGGATAGTTTGGGAATGGTCCTCATGCTGAAATTTTCCTTAGCATGGTCTTTTCTAGAAGGGCATTCACTTATACTCTTCAAAAAACTTAATCTCTCAAAAGTGAGAAGTGAGGGGCGGAGAGGTCCTGGTACCCATGGCTTCCTGAAGCAGTCTTGGTGACATTTCCCAGCTTTTAGGAATTTACATGAAAATGATACTAGGATGCAGGTCACAAATTTCTGATGTCCCGTGATCTTATAGGACACATTCTATCTCACAGTTTACTCATGAAGCTTAGGGATAAAATAACTACCAATAGATTCTATATAAAGAAAACTGGGGCATAAATTGGTTGCTTTGTTTGTTATCTCTTTGGAGGTGGCCAAAAAGTCTTTGCAATTGTTTAGGGATTTCTGAAAATTCTCTTTTAAGGATGATACCACATGTACTGTCTAGGGATGTTGCTGCAACATATGTTGTGAGAGGCTCTTATACTCTAATTTGCTGAGAATGCCTGGGTATCCCCCAGGCGAGAGCGCAGAAGTTCCTCCAACACATTCATAGCACTACAGGGTGTTGCCTTCCACTTGACCCTTCTGTTCTCTTGATTGTTCAATGCACAAGGGTTACTAAGAAGCCGAAAGATGATTATAACACCCCAATTGTGGTTGCCAGCTATGTGCTGGCAGATGTTTGAAAACAGATTCAGGAAGCCACTGTAGGCTAATGGTATAATAGGGAGTGGAAGATTTTGGGTTAGGAGTGAGCTAGCCTATTTCATAGAGCAAAATATGGCATGATAAAGGGGGCAATGCATTGTACTATTTGAACATAGATTCTGTGGTAAACCAGCCATTTACCAGCAACTTGACCTTGGACCAGTTTTAACCACTCAGTGCCTTAGTTTCCTCATCTTAGAAATGAGGATTATAACCTCTTATAATCACTTATTATAAGGTTATTGATAGAACTCAATGAGACAATGTATGTAAAGTGCTTAGTACAATACCTGGCATAGAGCCTCCTTTTCCCCAAATATATTACCTATTATTATAGGGTAAGATTCCTTTAAAAAAACTTGTCATTTGAGTAATAAAAATATGAGTGATTAATTAGCTGCCAACTTTGAACACATGTTCTTAGTTGTTAGAACTGAATCCTTAGAATTCTGTTGGTTAAAGGGAACATTTTTGTTGGTCTCTGTATCAGCCCTTTTAGTTAACCGTCTTGAGAAAAATCTTCGATCAAGGGGGGAAATAGTCCAAACAAAAGTCTAGTGCAAAGGCTCTCATAGTATGGCCTCCAGGTCAGTCCCATCAGCAGCACAAGGAACTTGTTAGAAATGCAAGTTCTTGGGCTGGGCACCCCAGACCTACTGAATCAGAAACTCTCTAAGTTGGGCCCAGCAATCTGTACTTAACAAGCCCCCTAGGTCAGCAATGCCCAACCTTTTGGGCATCAGGGACTGGTTTCATGGAAGACAGTTTTTCCACAGATGGAGCCTTGGTGGGGGGATTTCAGGCATTAGAGCCTCATAAGGAGCAGTCAACCTAGATCCCTCCCATGTGTAGTTCACAACAGAGTTCGTGCTCCTGTGAGAATCTAATGCCGCTGCTGATCTGTCTGACCTTACATAAGGCAGAGCTCCTCTGGTCCACCGCTCACCTCCTGCTGTATGTCCTGGTTCCTGACAGGTCACTGACTGGTACTGGGACCGGTCCAGGCTGGGCTTGGAGACCCCTGCTCTAGGTGGTTCTTAAGCTCATATTTGAGGGCCTAGAGCCAACAGAGACGAATTATTAATAAAATGTAGCCTATAGTCATTGCAGAAAATGTATGGAAGTTTTGAGCCCTGACCTGCATTTCCAGCTGCCTTCTGGACTCTCCATCTAAACCCCTCATTGCCCTCACTCTGCCTCCTCTAGTCCTGCCATCCATCCTACTAGATTCTTCTCCCTCACTTTACATCCCACCAGGCACTAAAAACCTGTTGATTCTTCTTCCTGAATGCTCATATCTGTCCATTCTTCCCTTCTTCTGCCTCTGTCTTTATTTGGGCTCCCACTGGCTTTTGTTGGGCCTAGGATGATGGCGTCATATTTTTGTTGCACATTCTGACCTTGGCTTCTTCAGTTTCACCAGTCTTCTCTCCATACTGCCGCAGAGTAACTTCACTGAAATATAAATGGATCAGTTGTCCCACTGCTTAAAGACCTTCCAGCATGGTAGATGAATTCCTTACCATTATACTCTATGAGTTTCCCAATCTATCCAGAGACGTGGTTTCCCCCTCTTCCTCCACCTTTCTCTCCTGCCATATACTCCCACCAGGCTCCCTTTTGCTGTCAATGCCACACTCCTTGGCCTCTTGCTCTGTGGTTGTAGCTGCCCTCTGCCATGCAGGTTCTTCCTCATTATCTGCTTATTGAGATTCTATGAACAGCGCGTTGCGAAACCACCCATCCTGGAAGCCTTCTTTGACTCTTCCAAGAAGATTTAGAATCTCTCTTAGCTTTACTTTTTTTAAACAGTGTTTTTGAGTTGGGGTCTCACTCTGTCCCCCAGGCTGGAGTCCAGTGGCACAATCAGGCTCACGGTAGCTTCAATCTCCTGGGCTCAGGCAATCCTTCAGCCTCAGCCTCTTGAGTGACTGGGACTACAGGTATGTGCCACCAGGCCTGGCTCATTTTTAAATTGTTTGTAGAAAACAAGGTCTCACTATGTGGTCCAGGCGGATCTTGAACTCTTGGGCTCAAGCAATCCTCCCACCTCAGCAACTGTGCCCAGCTTCTTAGCTCTACTTTTATGGGCATTTACTACTCATATTGATGGTTTTCCTACTAGGCAGAGAGCTTCTTAAGGGCCAAAAAAACCTGCTGACTTCTTCATCTTTGCATCTCAAGCTCAGTGCTTAGCACTTATTAAATAGGTGTTTAATAAATGTCTGCTGAAGGAATGAAGGAATGAGAGTGTGTTGTTACAAGAGGATTTTTTCTTGTAAGGAACAAAAACTCTCAGCTGTTCAGGCATAGAAGACTGCCTTTGAGAGAGTATTTATGTTCTGGATCATGGCAACCACGGAAGTGGAAGATGTCTCTGAGGGAAACCACGGGAGGGTTTGGGCAGGTGAAATGTAATTATCCACGCTGGCCCCGTGCCAAGGATCCTTAGCGCTGCTGCCAGGCCAGGGCTAAACACGCCTGGGTACGACCTTCCTCTTGCTTCCCTTCTGAAGAGCGGCCCCTCTGGCGGCTCGGGACTCCCAAACAGCTTGCAGCCCGGGGTCAGCCTCACTTACAGGGAAGAGGCAGCGGAGCCTGTGACCCCCGCTGAGCTGGCTCTGTCGCTGTGGGTCTAAACACACAGCCTGGTGTGGGACAGGCAGATGGCTTGTGATCTTGTCTCCTCCTTTTCAGCGGTGCTGCTGCATTCCTTCCAGCACAAGTCAGCAGCACACGCTTGCCTTCCAGGGCACAAGACCCCAGTATGACACAAGAACTTGACATCAAGTTACCAGGAGCCAATCTCCTCATGTGTGTGTGTGTGTGTGTGTGTGTGTGTGTGTGTGTGTGTGTGTGCGCTCAGTCATGTTTATTTCTAAAACCAATAAATCTCCCTTTCCAAATTACAAAGCGCCACATGCATAAATGCAGAAAATTGAAAAGCCGTTTTGCAGCAGACCATAAATCCTTTCTACAAGAAGATGCAGCTTACGAAAAAAGTGACTGAGCTGGGATTTAAATGCAGCAAGTGTGACCGCAGGGCTTGAACTTTGAGACAACCCCTCCCCTCCTGACTTTGCCACAGGTTGGGATCTCAGAGGGTCTACCTGAGAGGGGTCAAAGGGAGGAGAGGCCAACAAACAGGGCAGGGACCCCTGAGCCCTCTGGTTTTGAAGGTACCTAAAGCCACAGAGCCTTGGAGCTTCCACAAGTATGACCTTTGTGGTGACCACGGGAGACAGGCGGGAGAACGCAGAGTGGAGAGCGAGTCACGTCCTTTCTCCAAAGCAATCTCATGTCTTGTCGGCATTGTGCCTCTCAGCTATTCTCCAGACAAGATTTTCTGCCCAGAGCAGAGAGTTCCCCCTAAACAGCAATATCCCTGTATGTTCTCCTTTTCATTTCCTTGCGTCTCCCTCCAAAGGTCTCCAAGCAATTTACAAACTGTAGGTTGTGTTTGCAATCCAGACCCTTAAAGTGGATCTGTCTTTGTCTCCCCTCTGTCTTTCCCTTTGTCTTTTATGATTGTGACTGAAAAAGAGGAAGAGTGGCCAGAGGAAATCTCATGAATGTATATGAAGCCATTACATCTGTCGGGTGAGATGCCTGCTCAGGCTTTTTAAAAAAAATGCTTGTCTCCCCATCACCAGAACGGCTTCGGAGTTTTTCCCTCCAATTGCACAAATTCATTATTTACTCTTTTACTGCATCTATTTACAAGTCCACACGGATCCTCTGGGAGGCCCCATTCAGGCCTCAGAGCTCCTGTAATGAAGCCTGGCTCACTGCTTTGATCTAGCTCACTGCTACTGCTGCTTGGGGGATAGAGCGTGTGCCCACCTCTTCTTTGGAAGGTCAGCCTGACTGAGGACAAAGGATTTTAAATTGTGCTCTGCGGAATCCTGGAATCTGAGTAGCTGCCAAGAGTTCTAGGAAATAACAATAATAAAATCAGCCGCGGACATTCTTTTATTTTTCAAGGCATTATGATTTTGGTGTGGTTGTTAAACTTTCTTCTGGGGTTAAAGTATATAACCAATGCAAGCAGGCCATGCTCCTTGAAGTTTGTTTTAAAAGTTTGCCTCAGGTGTGGCACAAGTATATTTGGGGAAGCCAGTTGAGAGCTGTCACTAGGGACATTCCCTACTGGTGACTTGTACCAAATAGGTTTGATATTTGAGTAGGATGTCAGTTTCAAGAGGACAGTACCTGGCCATAGTAGGCACTCAATACATCTTTGTTGAATATATGAATGAATGAATGAATGCATGCATGCATGGATGAATACATTTTCTGGCTGCTCCTCTGATGGCCATCCCTGCAGGCTTAATTCTCTTGATTTTTGTGCCCTTTTCAACCAAGGAAGGAATTTTATCAGCAGCGTTACTGTGCATGCCTTGTATGCTCAGAGTCAGGGCCCTCAGGCCTAACTGGGACCAGGTGACCCCTTATGGTCCATTGACTAATCCCCTCATGCTCCCCAAGTCTCCTTTGCTGCATAAGACTTACTCTCAGGGGAACTCCTGGGGTCTTGGCTCACCTTTGATCCTAGTTCTTTCTTTTCCCCTCTGGTAATGATGGTTCTCAGTCCCTGTGATTTAAGGGCAGCAGCTCTGGAGTCCGATCACCTTTGAGGTTTCTCTCCCAATGACTGCCTATTCTCCTAAATCCTGAGTCTTGGCCACCAGCTGAAATGACCAGGTCCTTAGAACTAAAATGTTTCTTTAGCTAGTCAGGCCTCCTGCTCAGAGAGCTGAACACCTAGATATTGGGGCGGTGTGTGTGTGGGGTGGGGGAGGGTTAGCTCAGTTTCTCTCCTAGGAAGACCCTTAATGACCCTTAATGCTCCAGACCCCCAACCCCTACACTCCCCAGAAAGGTCAGGGTTCTCAAACTAGAGTTTACACAGAAGGGAAGTCCTAACCTCTACCTAAGTGGTCATAAGTAAGTTAATGAAAACAGTCTAAGTACCTCAACTAATAAACACACAGAGTGATTGCTTGGAAAATTATTGGAGTCCCTGGCCTGTTTGCTGCCTAAGGTTGCATTTGTAACAAAACTATTATCAAAAATATTATTTATTGCAATTACTTTGGGGAAAGCACTCAGGTTGAGAGAATTGTACTTCTTAGAGGACTCTGCCCTTTTTCTCCATAAGGAGTGAGGGACACCTCCTGCCATCCAGGGTGGCTCAGTGGTGGAAGTAGAAGTTCTGGTGACAACTTCTGGTGGGGATGAGGGGGAACTGACCCCTGAGGAAGGAAAAGGAAAGAACCTTCATGGACAGGGCACCTGGGGAAGACTCCATTGGGGAGAAGTGTCACTTAAATCATAATGATCTCCTTGAGCGTTTTTTAAGAGTCCAGTAAAGGTTTTGAATTATTTTTGGCTGCTGGACTAGAGTATTTGAATGAGACACCATGCTGGAATTGACCCATTTGGGAACCAGGGGTTTTATTCAACAAATATTAAGTGCCAACTACTGAGGATACAGCAGTGAGCAAAACAGACCAAAAATCATACTTCAAAGGCTTTTTCGGAGAGACAGAAAGTATATAAAGTAAGTAAATTATGTCATACGTTGTAAAGAGATAAGTACTAGGGAAAAAATAAAGTGAAGAGGCAGACAGGGAATTCCAAGGGAGGAACATGTAGCAAATTTAAAATATGTTGGTCAGAGAGAACTCCTCCCAGGAAAAGCGACAGGGAAGCAAAGATTTCGGGTATGAGGGCATGAACCAGGCAGGCAAAGTCCCAGAAGAGTTGGAGGCAGGGCATGTCTGTGGGCAAGAAGGCCAGGGTGGCTGGAGTGGAGAGGCAGAATGCGGTGGAAAAGATCAGAGAGAAGGAGACCTGACCATGCTGGACTTTGTGAGCCATTCTAAAGGCTGTGGCTTTTTCCTCTGGAGAACTCAGAGCAGAGAAGTGATAAATTGATTTAGGTTACAAGAGGAGGAATGATAGAAGGGAAGCAGATATAAGGAAAACAGTTCGTTATTATGAAATTCCAAGTGATAGATGAAGATAGTGACAGTGACTATAGTGAGAAGTGGCTGAATGTGTTAGCATTATGCATCCATTTAATTATTAATAAACGGCTTAGTAAATATTTACTGAGCCCTCAAAGAGATTATACTCTGAAAGGGAAGACAAAGAGTTAAGAACCCGAAGCCCATCAGTTCCAGGTTTCCAGGATTCTAAGGAGGAGAGACCCTAGCCTCAGAAAATGAGGAACTGGCACCTTCCTCTCATAGAATCTATCGAGAAGCACAAAAAATGAGTGTTTGACAGGTGACTAGCACTTTCCTGTGATAGAATCCATTGAGAATATAAAGCATGAGTGTTTGACAGGTGACATTCCATGTGGACAGAGGACCGAGTAGGGGCACAGGCCCTGAGTGAGCCCAGGGAACCCGGAAGAACAGGGTGTGACTGGAACTTGGTGCATGGAA